TAATATATTATATTATTATATATTTATAAGTATTTATAAGATACTTATCTTTATATTAAATTACTTATAGTATACCTAAACCACTTACATAATAAAACGGGTAGCCCACGAATAACCTAATATGCATGAACCCCTCGCGACAAGCCTGTGGTCCTGCGGCTTCTAGCAAAGTTGATGCACCGTGAATATGTTTAATCCAGGCACCCTCAGCGGTCCCCGTCCATGTCTCAAAGTGAGCCAACGTGACGGCAGAGCATACATTGTATTCAGTTGCTGTTGGCGCTTGGTGCGATAGGGCCTCCTGCAAGCCTACTAGTGCTCTGGCATACCACTTGTACGCTTCCGTCTGGGTCGACTTATCGCGGGCCCACGTTCCGTAGCTCAGCATTGATGCTGAGCGGATGGATGTTTTGGTGAGTGAGTTCTTGGGAGATGATATATATTGCGGTACATATGTAGTCTTTCCAACCAGTTGGCGTTGGGGGGGATGGGGAGCCTCTCTCCGCTCAATTGGCCGAATGATCCGACGAAATGAGAGACGAACAATTGGTCAAATGCCGTTTCTCTACAAGACCTTGGGTCGGAAACAAGGGGGATATGCACAAAGGTATTTCTCAGTCTTGGTGGCCAAGAGCAGCGGACGCTCTGCCCAGGTCGTCTTCGGGGACCGCTTGGGATGATGACTCTCCCGATTGCACATGTACGAAAAATGCTCCCGTCCGGGGTCCAGGGCATCGGAGACCCCTGGTGGTGCATTTCTCGCATTGTGGGAATGCCTCATCACACTATCGCAAGTGGCATTAGTAAGGCGACGTTCAATGAGTGACATGCGGTCGTGCTCGCCTTCACTTTTCGTCGACGGCATTTGGAACATCCTCTGCTTCTACCGGCAACATTAACCATGTCGTCTCATGTGGGATCGAGCGTTGCAAGGTTCATACAGCCCAAGGCGGAGCCAAACGCCGACTGGCAGTCCTTTTGTGTCGTGGGAGCATCACGGGCAGGGTGTTGGTGGGGATGTCGAGAGTGAATGTTCAGCTGGTGCCTGGTCGACGGTCATCAGGTCTGTTGTTTCGTCAGTGGTTTCCGAAGTTAATCCGGGCCATCGTGCAAAACCAGAGGCCATCATCGTCGACAGGCCGGGGTTTACTTGTACGCCAGATGCTATCTGAAATGACTCTGAGATTATTCTGAGGCGGAAGTGTACGCCATGGACCCCGAGCAGCGAAATTTGGCAAATTGGCCCGATTTTCTGATACCTCCACACAGGCTGGCTGCCGGAGCCCAGGTGAATGTTCAAATGTTGACCGGACACGGCCACATGTCCGGTCCACGCCATGCACTCAAGTTTCACCATTTGATGAGCCCGACACGACACAGCGGCATGGAAATGACGGCTGGAGTTTAGCTCAACGTCATATCCCTATGAAGTCATACATCATAGGCCGATTTTGCGCCTTGCTCCGGGGAAACGGCGACAACTCGTTCAAAGCTCATAACATGACATGCATTTATGCGTCTTGAGGAGACAAGCTTTTCCCCGATTCGGTCGAGTATCAATGTCGGAGACGGGTACCCGCAGGCCGAAATGCTCCTATCCCAACCTATTGACTTTTAATTTTCAGACAAGGCTTCTTGTCGAGAATATAGCATAGTGTGCCCCCTCAGAGCAGACATTCCATTCAAGCTTCCGGTCAATTCATACTCCCGCTGCCTGTCATATCTCACCAGAAGGCTCTGCCTGCCTCGCTGCCTGTATCCTAGATGAGCTATTCCAAATCTTTGCGAGCGCTACTGCTATTCCACGTGACTACCTCAACTTCATCACCGAGAAATACCAAGAGCTTCTTAGTCTCCAAGGTTCTAGCAGAGTGTCTGGCGACGGCGTTGGTGCAGAGCGCTCAGTTAGTCGCATGACGTTGCGACAGGTTCTTCTAACAGGGTGGAAAGATGCCGTCCAATTCGAAAAGAAGCCGACTCTTTACCATAAAAACGGAAACGGAACAGTCACCGCCGTCCTGGAGGACTCGGGGCTATATGGGGTCTCAGCCAAAGTCCATCTCAACAAAGACACAAAGACCCTTCTTCCCCACAAAGCACTCAGAGGAATCACCATGATCAATGCTTCCCAGGGAGACAGCTGTATAATCCATTGTATGGAATTCCCGTGGCATCGCAGCGGCAAGCCCAGAACGGCATTGGCGGCCGTGACGAAGATTTGCTCCAGCACTGGCCCGGTTCAAATGTTGAACGTATCCGGGATTACATAGTATAGGGTTTTGGTGCGCATAAAAAATGGCTACCTGGCAACATCATGTCTCTCTATGGGCCAGCACTACACGAGATGCTTGAGGAACGCACTTCCCAATGGCACCCGAGCTTTTGCAGGTTAGTGCAAATGTCAGATCCAACCACCAGTTTTCCCATCAATATCCCTACTACCGAGCGCTTGCAGCTGTATCAAAGCACCAATGTCCACTCTTATTGGTGACGCGACTCATACCATGACGCCAGGGCTAGGCGTCGATGCCAACACTGCGTTGCTCGATGCCGGGTTGTTGGCTCAAAACCTCATTCTGGCCGCCAGTGGGAGAATGGATATCATTTCTAAATTATGAAAAAGATATGCATTCGTACGCAATGAGACAGGTTGGAGAGGTCGCTTGCGCGGGTTGAGACGTTTGACGCAGGATATCATGTATTTCAAGTTGATTTTGCACCCAAACCTTGGAATATATACAGCAGTGTCAGGAGCAGCTTACCCGCCACATATTGAGCATTAGAGCCAACCAATCTACCATGTCAAGCCTTGATTAAAAAAAAAAAAAGACCACTCCCTCGAGAATTATCCATGCGCCGTAAACCCGAAAAAAGAAAGCCTACCATTGTAATATCCTTCCGCCCGTCTGCAAAAACTGCCCTACATGGTCGTCTCTCTTCCCTTCCACAATGTCGACAATACCGGTGGCGCTCGAGGTCGAACTCGAAGCGCCGGTAGATTCTCTCATCCCCCTGCGCCCTTCCCCCGTCGAATCGGTGATTACATGTCCCGGACAGTAGGCCCATACTTTGGCCCCCCAAACCTTGTACGTGGCATACATGCACGCCGTGGCCATGTTGAGCGCCGCCTTGGACATTCTGTAGGCCTCGGAAGCAATCCCGTAGGTCGGATCCCCCGGATCAAGACGAGCATTGATGGACCCCAGCGCAGACGAGACGTTGATAATGCGGGGATCAGTTGATTTTCGCAGCAGCGGCACCAGGGCTTCGGTAAAGACGAGGTGGCCGACCGAGTTGGTGTTCAAGGTGTCGAGGATTTCAGACCGGCGATCCGCAAAGTTGCGCATGACGATGCCGGCGTTGTTGACGAGCACGTCAACGACGCCGAACTCGGCCGTGAGCTTGTCCACGGCCAGGCCGATGCTCTGGTCGTCGGTAATGTCCACCTCGAGAAGGCTGAGAGAGCCCGCGTGAGGCTGGGCGTGTAACTGCTGCAGCGCCCTGGTGCCTCTCTCGTAGTTGCGACAGCCCATGATGACGTGGTTCTCGGGAGAGGCCACGAGAGCGGCCGTCATGTCGTAGCCGATGCCCGAGTTGGCACCTGGTGAGTGCTGTCAGAAGACGGCGCATCACGGGCTCTGCTCGCCGCGGGATTGCATGGCAGGGGGACATGGACAGACGGAGGACATACCGGTGACGAGGATAACCCGCTGCGACATGGTGCCGTTGGCAGCGCGGCTTGCTTTTGTCGCCATGGCACGCGGCGAGATGCGAAGTGTCCGAGACGACGTCGGCAACGTCTTTGAGGGAGACGTACGGAGTCGACGTGCATCGGGACAGATAAACTCCACCTGCGGCCAGTCGGGACATCTGGACGCTTTCAGACGGTGGCGTCGACCCAAGACTCGGCGCAGCCAAGTGCAGGCTTGATTTGGCCGACAGCATGGTGGGCGCAGCATTCCTGGCGGCGTCGGCAGGGTTTCTGGTCAACTGGTCCAATTTGCGTCTGGTCCAGTCTGGTCTGGTCTGGTGGGATTAGAGTTTAGACTAAACTCACTTGACTCAACGGCCGAGCCAAGCCTCACGGTGCTGGTCGTTGATACCAGACTCTTTGCCGATACTTGTCGTCTTGTACGCTTTTCTTCACCAGACTACTTAATCCACTTCACCTGCTATAGGACTGGGTATTCTGCGCTTCAAACAACTAAATCCACGCAGGCGTCTTGTCCCATCCACGCTCCCCGCCTCAACGCTCTTCCCATTCCACCGCGTGCACGTCGGCGCAGCTCCCGAAGCCGATTTTGAAGCTCTGCGACGACTGGAGAATATGGGCTAGTGCCACTGGCGGTGCGGCTTTATCTCGTCCGGCGTGGAGGACGAGATCTGGCGTGCAACTTTTCGTGAACCGAGTGACATTGCAGTAGTACAGCCTCTGCTTGCTGTCGTGCGCCGTGACATGGTAGTGCTACGAGAATGCGGGCCGATGGACATCGTACCGCGTCGCTGCCGAGGTTGTCATGACTGATCTGCAATCGTGCCCAATGTCTTTCGGCCGACGGGGCCCGGTTCTCTAGATGCGATGCCCGGGTGAAGCGGCATGGTGTTTTGACTGCATCACAATCAACTGGCGTGCCGGCCTCTTTATACGTCGTATCCGGGATGAACGTAGATCACGGCCCATCGCCGACACAACGGGCACAACTTTTTTTTGCGACATGGAATGGCCAAGCCACAGCCTTACAGGGATGGGCCTACCGGGATCGCTCCGGGCTCGCTCCGGGCTCGCATTCGAAGCGTTGTACGAGGAATACGGGAATTGAGGCTGAGCCTTGACCCCGGCGCAATGCTTTGCCTCAACCCGTCAACTGGTCCGTTGCCGCAATGTCCGCCCTCACACGTGGCCATCAAACTCGGGGCTGTTCTGGCCGTGATTAGTCAAGAAAAGGGCCCGTCATGCCGGATGCCACACATAGAACCAACCTTTGTGTGGCTTTCTTTGGGCCTTTGTTCAAGCCGTGTTTAGGCCATGTTCAATACATGTAGCCTCCTTGCCACCATCCGAGTTTATCAAGTTGCTACGCTTGAGGCAATTCGGCCAGATGGACACATCTTGTAGTCAGTTTATCCATTACTCAACTTTTGAGTGATGGAGTACTCTTCACAGACGTCGCAGCCAGCACTACGATTGCTCTGCAACTGAAACAATCAGCGCCGTTGCTATTTGAAGCGCACAATCGTGGAAAATACACATCTGTTGCTTGATATTTGGTGCGTGAAGCGCGTAAAATAAGAAAGTTTATCGCGAATACCGTCAAACTCGGGCAAATAAGCAGCGGCGTGGGTGCTGAAATACCGTCTGGAAAAATATATTTGGCCTAAACCTACCCACACGTACACAAACACTATAATGCTCTATTCGAGCTGGTTTGGCAGTAGTATAATGCGCCATAGCTTGGTGGCGCCCCAGCCAGGCACTCTTCGAGCCTCGCTCCGTTCACTTCCAAAATAGCCAGAACTCAACTAAACTATGGCATGCCAGAAAAAGAAATGTGAAAAAGGCTACGCACAAGTTTTTAAAGTCTTGATAAAGAAAAGGGGCAAACATCGAATAGTACAAAGATACTAGTATCGACTCTTCATTCGTCATGCGGCAGAGATGGCTACTCATCTGGTTCACTACAAGAAACACCAGGTAATGAAAATCAATGATTTGGCGAACAAAAGTCCAAGTCTTCACATCTTCGCGTTTATCAGTGGGAGCAAAGTGCCGCTTACACCATGGCGTAGTAACTGATACCAAACACTCTACGAGCCTGTCCATGCGGCCAGGCCAGTAGTGCCACCCCGAACTCGACTGAACTCAATAAATTCACTACACGCACTCAAAATGTATATTTCAGGACAGCTACTGAACAAGTCTTTATAAAGTCAGAGGCCACCGATATTACGAAATTCCATGCATTTGCTCAGTGTCCCAAAAGCAGCATCCTACACAAGCACACACGACCAAATTGTCTCCAGCAAAATTCTTTAGCACCAATCTACAAAGCATATGTTTTTCTTGATCCCCACATCCTTCTTACTACGAATGACATGGGGTTCGTTTCGAATATTGCCAGGCGCTTCGGCAACGCTTTGCCCGGCAAAGAGTCCCAGTCGGCCGGCGAGACTCGGCGCAAGAGATGCAGTCGTTGCAGGCATCCTGTACAGAAACCCGGGGATACCTTGTGCTTGATTTGCAAGGGCTTTTCTCCCTCCCCTGACGACGACGACGAAGGCAGCACAGTCCATGCAGGCTATCCTGAACCTCCTGATCCTGGCCATGAGCAGCCACCGTCATAGGAGGGTATAATCAACGTCGCAATCCTGGCAGGCGATTCATCTTCAAAAGAATTGGTGTCACTTTCAAATCGCAGGATTCCTGCCAAGTTAACGGCGTCTTGAGGGGTACGATGAGCGTCACGGGGTGTTTCTCTGTCCGCCCGCAGATCCGGACAGCTCCATATTCAACTTTTCGGAGACGAAGAGGTCGGTTTGCGGGAACTTTTGCATTCTATGGAATGCTGTGTTATGAGTCCATGATTGGGGAAATGTACGGTGCTAGGTACCAATGTGATGTATTGCAGGACCTGACGGGACTGATACTCAAGTCGACACTCAAGCCGGCGGCTGGCACATAATGGTCTTGGATGAAATATAATACTCACACTCTTGCGTGGTTAGTTACGGTTCCCTGGCCTAGAGGCGGCCAAAATGCAGTGTTACTAACGCCGTCCCTCAAGCACGTTTTTTTGATTTTTCTTTTTAATAAGTTAGTAAGTTAATAATAATACGTATATAAGTAAAATATGTGGTACCCGTTAAATATAGAGAAGTGGCAGTGTAGAAATAAGCGAAGGCGCTGGTAATAAACTTGGCATTCATTCTCATGTACCCGCACGCGTGCAAATTAGTAGAGGGAGCCACTTGTCCCCAGAGCCAGTTGACATGTTAACGTACATACTAGGCCTAGCCTCTCACTCCAATAACTACAGGGAACAGGCCAGACACCCACCAAATCTATGGCAGTAATAGGCCAGGTGCAATTTAGGTGGACTTTTGGGCCTCAACGTGTCGTCCTGGAGGTGCAGAAACTTGACTTGTCTCCTTGGTATGGTTGGTCGCTTCACTGCATGCTGGAGGCATAGACTAGGCAGAACAGCAGACGAATGCGACGCTGGTGACGGGCGAATCCTTCTGGAAATGTGCGGAGGTCCTCGATTCTCGGGGAATAAAGAAATCTCTATGGCTCTCATTACTGGTGTCATTAAACTTTATATCTGTTGTTGTAGCGATCGCTCACCAAGCTCCGTGAGATGCCGTGCTGTACGATGGCCTTTTGCACAATGAGGATGATAACCTTGTAAGGTTCTGGCATGTAGGTTCCTTATCCTAGAAGCGCATGAAGCATTGACATGTGCCGCTGCTCCAGTGCACCATCGCGTGCTTCGAGTACATTCGGCGACACCTTAATGCCTGCATTTGACGCCTCACTTGCTGAAGGGTAGAATGCCGCCCGCCTCAAGCAGGATAGTTTTCTTCCATAACTGCATTAACGGCATGAAAAAAGTTATAAGACAATTTGCGGAAGACCTTACTCATCTTCTGACAGAAGTGTTCAATCACCAACTCATAGTCAATGCATACCACGACAAAAAGGTGTGAGACGAGGGGAATCTCAGACGTGCGTATATTGATATCCACCGAGTACCTGGCCCTTATATCGATATCCGGATATGTGGAGAAAGGTATCTGGATATTAATATATCCAGATAGATATCCGTATAGCCACATAGCCACTTTAGCAAGGTTGATATCTAGATAAGCCATGTGAAGCTCTTGTATTCTAGAAAAAAGGACATCAAATTATCCTACTCTAGAAAGACCTCTGCTTCTGCTTCAACGCTAAACTCAACAGCCACCCTCGAAATAGCCCCTCTACTGCTGTGAGACCTGGTTACAATAATACCCTCTCGTATTCAGGTGCCCACACACTCAAGTTTTACTCAACCTCCGCCAGGGCTCTCTCTACCCATCGATAGCGTACACCATTCTAATAAGAGATGAGACTCAACATGAGATGATCCAGGAGGAATTAAGAGGGCCTTGATTGGCATGAGGGATAGCCGCGGATATGTTTTCGTTCTATCGCGATGTAGTACTATTCGAGAGGAGAGCCAGTTATCCAGGTTGGCAGTGCATTAATAAAAGGTTTCCAAGACATCGGCGTCGTCTAAGATGCGGTCAGTAACTGTGATATCACCAAAGGACACATTCATCTCATTGAGCTACCTCCCAGAGCAAGTGGATACATCTAGTGAGTGGCACGGGAATGTTAAATTTCAGGGAAGTCTTTTCATAATTTAATTAGGTGACAAGATCATTGCAGCCAATCAGAGCGAGCGACAGTAGGTGGATATTAATCTGGATATGCATTTAAGAGGCAGAAAGTTATATGGATATGAATGGGTTGTGCTATTTGTGCGGCAGAAAATCGTTATTCGTGCGGCACCAGACTCGATTCGGATAAGTGGCCAGTTGGCCACACCCCACCCTACATTTTCACATACACCCACATGGAAAAGTTAAGTTGAATTTAATGAAAATCTATTAATTTTTAATAACGCGAGCCTAAGCGAGCGCTAGCACGGCTTAAATCGCTTAAAAACGCGATTTCTAGTGTTTTTAATGAATGTGTACACATTCACGAGATTCA